TACATACAAACCATTTAATACTATTGTGTAAAAGTTAAAAATTAATATAAGTAAAAAGTGAAACAAAAAAAAAAATAATAATAATAATAATAATAAAAACTTTAAAAAGAAAGAAAAAAGTTAATATTTAAAAAAAAAAAAAATTATCAATTATTAGTATTAATAAAAAATACTTTTTGTTTGTTGTTTTGTGTAAAACTTTTTTTAAATTTTTTTTTTCATCTAAATTTCAAATTTTAATTAATAAGCTACTCATTAATTATTTAACAAAAAAAAAAATTATAACTACGTCATACGTTGTTTTATAATGTGAAACTACGAAATGTTGTTGCTAAAACAAAATTTATGATTTTCTTCTTTTTTTTCCAGGATTTGTAAAACTAAAAGTGTTCGGACTTGGTGCCGGTGTCGTGAGATCTGCAACTGCTGGAGAAGTCGGTGATAATGAGACGTTTGTCCAATCCTGGTTGTTGTTAGGAGTCGATCCGATCAAGTCGACTAAATCCATAAGGTTCGGTGTTGCGTATGCTATCAGTTCATTCCCTGAAATTCCTATTAAATTTTTTTATTATTAAAAAAAAAAAAAAAAAATATAAAAAAAAAAATATAAAAAACGACATGTGAAGAATTAAATTAATTCTTTTAATTATAAAAATCACATTTATTCGTTAACAAAAACGTTTTTTTTTTAGCATTTTTTTGTGAACTTACCCGCTTCTTCATTTTTTTTCTCGTTATTTTCATCGTCTATTGCCGGTAGCAAACCATACGATAAAGGATCATCGTTGAATAACTGCAAAAAAAAAAAAAAAAATAGATCGTTTAATCTTTATAAAATAAAATTCAATTAACAAGAAAAAAAAAAAAAAAAAAAAAAAAAAATTACCCATGGCAATGAATTAGTGTCAAAACTGTATCCTTCACCTTTTAACATTTCTTTCAAATAATCTAATTCTCCTTGTACGGAATCCACGTGCGAAGTAAGTTCCCTAAATAAACAGATGACACATGTCGATGAATGATTAAATTTAAAATTAGTTTTGTACGCATTTTATTTAAAAAACTCACCGAGTTAAACATTTTGCCGATGACGGTTGTTGGCACACTATGGCCATTGAATCGGAATCGAAATTCAATGCGGCGTTCTCTGAATTTTCACTTTCATTTTTATCAATCAAATCGTTTGAATTGATTAAACTAGTCGATGGTAATTTATCGTTTTCCTCGACGGAATTCAAATTATCATCTTTTTCAAGTTTCAAAGTTTCCTTTGACGAATCGACGAGTTGCTCTTCGCACATCGTTCCATTGTACAAAGAATCCAATTTTAAAAATGAATCGCTCAACTCTTCTTTATCCTCTGCATCTTTTCCTAAAAAATTTCATTTGATAATAATAATAATAATAATAATAAATCTACTTTAATAAAGACTAATTTTTAATTTTCCAATGGTGTCTCTTACCTTTTACTAACCCAAGATCTCCATCGTCTTGTTTCGACCTTAATAATAATTCTAAATCATCGATTCCTATTTCTGTTGCAGAAGTTTTAGAATCTGCCGTTGGAAAAAATAAATAAAAATTATGTATCAATTTGAATGTGAACATAAGTGCATAAAAAATTAATAACTTGCAAATGTTAAATAAGTACAATTTTTTCGGTTCGTTTTAAATTACAAAAAAAAATGATCAATAACTACCATCATTAGTTGTCAGTTTTTTACGACTAATAATTTTCGGTGTTGAAGAATTTTTAATATTTATTTTCTGATCGGTAGCAGTTGAAGATGGACGATTGATGTTTTTGATTATTTTTTTACCATCCTTTACGGTGGAATCTACAATTGAACTGACAGAACCCAATTGACTTCCTTGATTGTTGGAACTGTAATTGAACAATATGAATAGTATTAATGTAAAAAAAAAAAAAAAAAAAAACACAAAACGTTAACAAAAAATACTTGACAAAAATTTTAAAAATTACTTTTTTTTGTTGTTGACATCTAATTTTAATGTCATCGGTTTTTTCTTTTTCATGGTTTTTTGAGCGGCAATATTTTCATCCGTTAAATAAATGATTTTTTTTTCGGAAATATTTTTTTTACCGGAATCCGAAGTGGTTATTGATGGTATTGTTATTGTTATAGGAGTATTGATTTTACTATCTCCTTTTAAATGTTTAAGGGTTGCAGCCGCCATGGCTGGATTTATTTTAGCAGGATCTATCGGTGTTAAAGGATCAATAATATCTCCTTCTGTCATTTGTATTTCTAACCATTCTTCCGGAATATTTTCCGTTCCTTCAATTATGGGTTTACCTGTACCTTCCTTCGTTGTTACGGACCGCTTTTCCGTATTATCAAACTTAATTAAGTTGGCGTCATTTTCTCCAAGGCTATAAGTTAAGAAATATAAAATATATGAACTAAACTTTAAATAAAAATTAAGCATCAAGTTTTAAGAATTATTCTAAAAAAATTTTAATAAATATCTAATAAAAATTTACTAACTCTGAGGAAATAAATTCGCCGTCGCTTGATACTTCTAGTTGCTCAGGACTCCCGAAAATAACATCACTTGTATCTATTTCATGAATTGTAGGCCCAGTTGGAGAACCCTGATTAATATTTGAAGCATCAGGTCCACTTAATTTGGTAATTTTTTTTACAGGTTGAATATCGCTTAACATCAAAGGAAACCTTCTTCTTAGGGGTACATTTCTCGAAGGTTGAACTATAGTAACTATGAAATGAATTAACTGCAAAACAGATATAACGGTTAATTATAAAAAAAATTATTAGTATTGTTTGTGAAAAATAAATATTGTATTACTTTGATTAAAAAAATTTTGTTACCCTATTTATTATTTGTTCCTGCTTCAAATGTTTTTGCCTAAAAATGGCCAATTCTCTCCATAAAGCTTCATTTTCTCTTTTCATTGATGCTAATCTTGCATCCCAAGACTCTTGTTTTCCTTTTAAATTATTTACATCTGTAAGCACTTTTGCTAAAATTTCCGATTGAGTTTCATTCTTTAGGTTCGAATTAGTAAACTGCTCATTAGGCATAACACCTGATTTAGGATTTGGTAATTTCCTTTTAATATTTCCTAACAGGTATGGATGATCTTTTATAAAACATTGATGAGCAAACTCCATATAGTCCTTATCATTTTTTAATCCGCCTGCTTCCGATACTATTTTATGAAAACCATCTAAGGAAAAATAATTTGTGAAAATATTATTCAATATTTAATTTTAAAATTTTATAATTTTTTTAATAGTGAGTACTTTATTATTGTTTTCATTTTAGCCATTATAGTTTTATAGATTTATAAAAAAAAAAAATAATATTGTTATATGTTTTAATAGGCTTCTCGATAAGTAATTACTACTGTATTATTAAAAAAAGTTTATCGAAACATACAAAAACTTGAAAACATTTTTTACAAACATTTTTACTTACACATGTTTAGTTGCCTTATGAAACTAGCCATATTATTATGCTTATAATACAATGATAAAAGCTCCCTGGCAAATTTTGCTGGTTGATGAATAATAAAACTCAATGCACTCTGAAAAAAGAAATAAAAAATAAAAAATACACTCAATACAAATTATATTATTAACATTTACAAAATGTTGTTACTCATTCCACTTATTACTTTTATTAATTAGTATTTTCTCTTTAATATTTATATTATAAAAACTATTAAATATATATAAATTTAAATTTGGTTTTAAATGACGACATTGTTTAATAAGACGATTTATTCTTAAAAATATACAATGACAACATAAAATAATCTTTGACAGTTTCTGATGAGAGACCAATAGAAATCACGAAAAACATTTTTAAAAAAAAGAATTCGTAAATAAATAAGGGTCATATTAAAATTAAATAAAGGTAATAACTCCATTTTAAATTTTTTTTCTTTGTATAAAAAAGGAAGCTAAAATTTTTTTTTAACTTATAAAATGGAAAGCTATAAAGAAGGTCAATGTGAGATGTTTACCTCACTCCAGCATATTAATTCATCAGTTTCTGGATCGTTGACTAATTTCCAAAGTTTTACTAAAAAAGCAGGTACGTTCGGACCTATATCTGATAAACCGTGCATATTTGAATCACTATTTTTCCACATCACGTTTTAAAAAAAAAAAAGTTAATCATTGCAGCAGATGAATAAATCTAACTTTTAAACGCTTTTACTAATCAGGTTAGCCAATTTTGCTGCAACCATTGAAAAAATAAATAAATTTGCCGCACGTTTTATATTAAATTTAAATATGCCGTAATAAAGTTAACTAAAAAAAAAAAAAAAACTCAAGCACTTCACTTTTAAACTGATAAAGATAAAAAAAAAAAAAATACTTCAAAAAGAACTCTTTCCATAAATTCAATGTCAGTAATGTTAATAATTCAGTTTTAAAAAAAAAATCATTAAAAAAAAAAAAATTAATTTATATTATTTTTCTGCCTTAATTATTTTGAATTAATTAAAACCGTTAAAAAAAAAATTCAATATTTTATTTGTAGTTACTTATAATAATATTTTCGGTTTATTTTATCGTTAAAAATTTTCTTTTACTATTATTAAAAATTATGTATCATTCTATTATATATATAAAAATTGCCTAAATAAATTACTTTTATAATTTTTTTTTTCTTTTGTGTATGACAGACGATGAAAATTTAATAAATTAATTAGTGAAATTGTTTTTGTTAGTATAAAAATGAAAAGAAAAAAAAAAAAAAAAAGAAAATTGAAAACCCATCAAAAAGTTAACCTTGAAAAAAAAAGTCAACAATTAACTATTTTTTTTTTTTTTTTTCAAGTATATATAAATATATGTATGCGTATCTACTATGGCAACATTAGCACTTCAGTTTTCGAATGATATTCGAAGTGTGATGGTCGTTTTTGATAATTTAGCAAGAATTTTGCGAGAAATTTTAACGAAATCTTCAACGGCTGGTAATATATATTATTTATAATTATTTAAGGTTTTAAACAAAAAAAAATTATATAAAAAACTATTTGATATATATTATTTAATTTTATTTTTTTATAAAAAAATAATATTTTAACAATATGTAGTTAAGGAAAAGTGAGTCGATTTAACAAAAAATTAAACATGCGCGATGAGAAGAAAGTTTTTTTTTTTTTTTTTTTTTTTTTTTTTTTGATATGAATCCTAAAGCGATCAATAAGAATTTAAAAAAAAAAAAAATAAAACAAAATTATTTAATAAAATGCATTAATATAAAAAATTTAAACAATAAATTTTATTGTAAATTAAATATTATTTATTAAACATTCATAATATTAATGAAAGTTTATAAAATTTACATTTGTCGTCCATTAACCGTTGCAAATTCCAAATTCCTTTTTTTTTTTTTTTGAATTAAAAAATCTTTTAAACTTTTTTACATTCACTTGTAAAAAATTTAAACAATAATAATAAAGCAATAACAGAATAATTATTAAAGATTATAAATTGTCTTCTTAAATTAAACATTTTTGCTAAAAAAAAAAAAAAAAAATGGCGTAACTTATTTTTGAATTTACATTAAAATAATTTTTAAATTGACAACTCTAACCATTGAATTATTATAATTTTTTTTTTTTTTTTTTTTCAATTTGAATAAATCCAAATTTTTTTTTCTTTTAATTATGACTTTTATGTATAATGCAAAAGGTTTAAATTAAACAATTAAAAAGATTAATCAGCAAAAAAAAAAAAAAAACAAATTGATTAAATAATAAGAAAAAAATTTTTTAAAATTGACACTGACATTGTTTATAGTAATAAATTTTTACATTACAATTCTAATTATATATTTTGTGTTAAACAATTCCATAAAATAATAAAATAATTATTTTTTTAATTATTATAAATGTAATGGGTAATATTTGGTCATTTTTGTAGTATTAAATTGCCATATTTACTCTAATTACATTATTTAGAATGTTATGGCTTTTCCCATAACTTAAACTTCAGGCAAAATAAACAGACATACCTACCTATCATTATTATCATTATTATTAATTTAAGTGTTTATTATATGAAACATTTTCACACAAACTCATCTAAAAATTATATAATTAATGAATTTTTTTTTTTATTTTCAGATGATTTGAAAGAATGGAAACTTTTAGGACAAGAAATAAAAGGACAATTAATTGTTGGATGGATAGAAGAAAATATGGAATCTACAAAACA